CATGCGATAAAGGGGGGAGGAATCCGGCTGCTTCGGGTGGTGTTGAGCTGCCGGCGGCGGCCTTCCACTGATTCCCTCCAGCCCTGGCTAGTTGGGCGAGGGGAGGGGGGAGTGTTCTGAGGTGAGACATAGGCAACACGGTCAATGGAAGCTGGGGAAGCTTCTGACGGACAGTGCAAGCCTCCAAACACAGTTGGTGTGCATTTTCTCTCCGCTGTGTGACCCTGCGTCTTACTCAATTATATATAAGGGAGAGATTCAGTACATTTTTTAAAATCTCACCCTTCCTCCAAAAAATTTAGAGTGGTTATTATTTTCTCCCATCTCCTTTTTATTCTTACAACAACATGGTGAGGTGGGTGAAGCTCAGAGACAGGCCAAGGCTACCTAGCAAGCTGCCATAGCACAGTGGGGACTTGAACCTGGGTCTGACACTCTAACCATTACACTATGCTGACTCTCCTGTAGCTGGAATATTACCTGCAGAGAGTATATTCAGATACTGTACTACCTGTTGCTATTCACTCATCTTTTATGCTGTTTTTTGTGTGTAAAGTGCTGTCTAGTCACAGCTGCCTTACAGTGACCTCTCATGGGGTTTTCAAGGCAATAAACAAACAGAGGTGGTTTACCATTTCCTGACTCTGTGTAGGGACACTGGACTTCCTTGGTGGTCTCTTATCCTGCTTAGCTTCCTAGATCTGATGAGATCGGGCTAGCCTTAGCCATCGAAGTGCTGTTTTTTAATGTTTTATAGTGGTGCACATTTTTAAATATTGTGTATATATTTTTATAAAGACTGTTGTGAGCACACTCCTCCCCATCAGGTGCCTTTTTTAAAAGGGGAAAGCAGCTTAAACAAACTATTTAAATGCATGAGAGGATGGTGGAAGCAAGCCAAATCCATTGGTACTGGAACTGCTTGCAGAACAACCATGCAATGGCACAGGCTTGTGCGCAAAGGGGATGGAGGGAGAGAGACCTTGTCCATTTTAATTAAGCAGGAGAAAAGAACTGGGGGGGGGGGGGGTGACGGTACCATCGTCACTCTTCATTAAAGCTTCATAAGGATTCTTAAAAGCACATCCTGAGTTTAAAGACATGCAAGGCTGTGTTAAAAAAATAATGAAACAGCACCTTAAAGACAAACATTTATTTTGGCATGAGCTCTCTTGAGATTGATGGCACTTCTTCAGATGGAATAAATAAGCTCTGACTCATGAAAGCTCATGGTGAAATAAATTTTATTGAACGAATCCCCCCGCCCCCGCTCTGTCCATGCCCACACAAACCTTAATCACTCAGGATACAAATTAAAGGTGCACTCTATCAGCCCCCTCCTTCGCACCAGCCACACCCCCTCCTGAGCACCCAATCACGCCCCCCCTACAAATGCTTGCAGCAGGTTGCTATACAACTCATGAGGAAGGGTGTGTGGCACAGCTCTCTGCCAATGCACCTTAGTGGCAGGAAAACCACAGTGAAGGCACTTAGCACCTTTGGGTGAACACTTGGCAGGAACGTACAACAGGGAGAGCAAAGTCTACACTTTGTGGCTGACCTCTCCCAGCATTCACCCCAAACAGGCGCCCCCATCTCCTCTACCAGGAACTAAAGGGCCAGCCATGCACTGAAAGGTAAGCAAGGCACCTTATCCCCAAACCTCTTCAATGGTGCCTCCCATTCCCAACCCCACAGGAACCCCCAATCCACCCATCGTCCCCCTACACAAAGGGGTCTGGGTGTGTGGGAGCCAGCACAGGACAGTTGTCAGGGGAAGGGGGCAAAGCTGTCCACCTGCCTTGTCACTCAAGAGAGGGGAAAGCCCCACCATCCTGAGTGCTCAGCAATTCCACATAATCCCAGAATCCCCTGATGCAGCTGACAAGGCGCTCTCCTCCCTTTAACGTTTTGCGCAAAATCAATGATGTGACTGTTGAACTTGAACTGCCTAAGTCTCTTAAAGATGTGCACCCTGTTTTCCATTTCAGCCTCCTGAAGCGGGATCTGGGACCAAACAAGTGGAGACCTCGACCCCCAGCCCCTTCTCCTCTGATGAGGGGTAGTGAGCCACATCACGAATTGGCACAGATATTGGATTCAAGACTTAAGCGTGGACACCTTTATTACTTAATCAGGTGGAAAGACTTTGACCCCTTAACTTGTACGTGCATTTCACAAAATGTATCCAAGTAAACCTGGTGAGTGAGATCTTGGGGGGGGGGCAGTATGTTAGCTAGGCCTCTGGCTGTTCTAGCTGCCATGAATGTGAGGGGGGACTCTGGAATTTTAACTTTCATTTCTGCTGTATTCCCAGTCTTACTTTATCTATGTAACCAAAGCCTTCGACCTTGAGTGTGTGGTGTTCTTTTCTCCTGAGAATAATTGCCCATTACTTTGGTAGGGTTCTACCTGGCCTCTGATTGGACCTGAGCCATCAGGGGACCCTCTTGAATAATGTACATCTGCTTGCTTTGTGCGCTTTAGGCTAGTTCTAACACCGAAAGTGTTAATAACTGCATACTCTCAATGTCTCAATAAACTTTACTTCTTTGAACGAAAGCTGTTGGGAACTGATTGCTGCAGGAGTCTGGCAGCTGCTCTGTCTGGGTGGAAACAGTCCAGGCAGATGATGTCCAACATCCTCAAGGTGCTGATGTCTGTCTGGTAATGACAGGTGCAGTGCCTTCTCCACTGTCACTGTGCCACCCAGACATAGAGTGCTGGCAATAAGTGGATGTGATGCATGCCTAGCAAAGGCAGCAGAGACAGGAGGGGATACCATCCCAGGGATGGATGGGCAAGCCCTATGAAAGGAGGGTGCTGCAATCAATATGGTGAATCAGTATGGGCCCCATTTCTCCCCCGGTGACTAGTGGCTTAAGCTCCCCCCTTTACCTACCCCCTCTCCCTGTCGGTCACCCTGTAGTGCACGCGGCCTCCATCTGCTGGCTGATGCCCACTGTGAGGGCACTGGGGTGTGGGGATGTACCAGGAGATCTGAGTTTTTCAGTGGTATCCCATCCTGCCCCCTCATTCCCCAGTCTGTGGGTGGCATGGCTGCAACGATATCTGGAAGTAGCAATGGCCACCGCAGCCAAACTGGACTGAGGCTCAGAAGGCACTGGTGGTGAAGGCTGGGAGCACTGCCATTGACACTGCCAGGACCAGCTTTGCCACCTCCCGCCACTGTGCCTTCTGCTGCACGGTGGCAGAGCAAGTATCTGCCCCTGGACATGCCACCCGGATAGAGATGTCCACCCTGAAATGCTGGAATGATTCCTTTGGCCCAGCTCAGAAGCACGTCCGAACCCTCACGGCCAAGGGTATCCCTTATGAGTGGTGGTGGAGGAGGGTCTGCCAGAAATGGAGGCCGTCATGTAGTTGGTGATACCCCCGTAGTAGTGCACCCTGTGGCATCAAGGTACTATGTGGTGAGTGTTACAAGCCCTGCAGCCACCTGGCCCCTGGAAGGAGCCCTGCTCCTACCACCCACAGCCTCCCCACACCATTGCATGTCCTGACTCCTACCCTTCCCCCCGCAGGTAACTCTCAGAGTAGGGATGCCATCAAAGGACCATCCTTGGAGGTCACTGAGGGGGGCAGCAGGTCCAGTACTGGCCAGTGCTGTACCCCAGCCCCCAAGAAGTAGGACTCTGCCATTGTTATGCCCCCATCCCTGCAGCTAGGGGATCCCCTTTGACACTCCAGGGATCTTGTACAAGGGGGGGCTCATGCCCATATATTCAAGCCAGGAGGAGGAGATGGAGCTGAGCAGCAAGGAGGAGGACCACAGAGACCAGGCTCCTGTGGCAGGGGCAGAGAGAGGTAAGGTGCCTCTGAGGGGGGCTAGAGATGTGGAGGTGTAAGCACATGAATAGCCACTCAGCCTGACTGTTTGCTCTCTTCCCCTCCCCCAGAACCTTTTCCCTGATGGTCGCAGCAGATATAATGGACCACCTGTGCACCCTGACCCCCACAAGATGAACGGTGGTGGCCGTGGTCCTGCGGACATTTGGCATTTTAGGGTCCCCAAGGCCAGCAGCTGAGGGTGATGCAATGCAGCTGGCAGATTCAACATTGTCAGATGTCAGCAGTGCTGGGCTGAAGGACACTGGGGAGGTTAGGGATGGCAGGGGCAAGGCACATCCTTCTGAGTCAGGTACTGTGGCCGCCGGTGGGGCAGACGATGGTGGGGAATCTGGCCCCATGCCCAGCACAGCCTATTCCCACCACCATCCATGTGGGCGGTGATTGAGTGGGAGCAGCTGGAGAACTGCTGTGAGTGGCCAGAAGCCTTTTCCAGGGGCCAGCAATGGATGGTGTTGTGTTCTAATGGCGACCGCACATGCGGTCACCCTTACACGTGGCCATGTGAACTGACCTAGCTTCGCATCCTTAGACAATGGAAGGAGAGGATCCTAGAACCAGCAGATCAGCTCGTCTGGATTCTCAAGGGAACCTATGGTTGCAATAACACTGTAAATAATCCAATCACAGGTGTGGGTGTGTGCTGGGGTTGGTCTCTGGCCAGCTACTGTATCTCCAGTTTCTCTTCTTCCTAAGTAAAGTATGAGCTGAAATCACTACGCTATGCCTCAGTCTCAGTACTTTATAGAGGGGCTGGCAGCATCTGTAATGGTGGCTGCTAGGCACCTGGAGAGGCTGTTTGCTATTGTGAGAAACATGGGTGTAATGTATCCAGTCCAGACAAGTCCAGAGACAAACGTCGAGCTTCGCTTCAAGAGACAATGGACTATGCGGATCCTAGCCCGCTCCAATCAGGGGGCTAGGTTCCCGGCCAAGAGCCTATGGGACTCTCGGCCACTGTAAATAACCTATAGGGAAGTAGGGGTGTGTTTTGGGTGGCGGTTTCTCGGGGGATATAAGCTGGCCTGCGAGCCAGCCAAAGTTGTCTTGTTCCGGATAGAATAAAGTACGCTTTGCTGAAATCACTCTCCGTTTGCGTACTTTTCAATGGGTAAGGGACAGGAGCGCATTGACAGGCTGCTGGGGGAACTTGTCATAGGCTCTCCATGTCCCCCCAGGATCCCCTGCCCTGCCAGTCCTCCTCCTGCTCCATCTCCAGCAGGGGTGGTGTTAGCAGTCAGATCTCTCCTCCTGCTGTGGGACAGTTTATAGACTTCCTAATATGTGTTTGTGTGCATGAATGAGTGTGTGTGTGTGTGTCTGTAGATCAGCTGAAATATTTATTTATTTATCTTTAAATTTGTATCCCACCCTATCCCGAAGGCTCAGGGCGGCTAACAAGGGCACAAAGTGCCAAGATTAAAACAATAAAAGCACATAATATAAGACAGTAAAATACAGTAACAAAATCACAGTGCTCCATTTGTCACAAGATGGGGTAGATCTTAAACCCAACAGTAACTTTCCCGAAATCTATCATCCCTTTCCTGCCAGGGGCACCTCGCACCCCCAAAGGGGCCAGATAGTCGTGGTGATGGTGCGATGGTGCGTAGGTGACAATGGTGGAGTACTAGTGGTGGTGGCTTCTACTCAAAGGCCTGGCGGAAGAGCTCCGTCTTGCAGGCCCTGCGGAACTGAGAAAGATCCCGCAGGGCCCGGATCTCCTCCGGTAGCTCCTTCCACCAGGTAGGAGCCGCCACCGAAAATGCCCTGGCTCTGGTCACCGCAAATTTAATATCCTTGGGGCCTGGATTTCCAGGAGATGACGACCCCCCGACCATAGTGTCCTTGGGGAAACATATGGAGAAAGGCGGTCCCTCAGGTAGGCTGGACCCTGGCCATAAAGGGCTTTAAAGGTAAGAACCAGCACTTTGAAGCGAATATTAACACCAAACATGATGAACACCACCTGACCAAACAAAACACTGTCATCATTACTGAAATGGAAACATTAGGTAACAGGAAAGGTCAAAGAGAGTTATAACCTGTAGGTAGCTTGGGAGATCTGACCTTCATCAAGAGAGCAGGGGGACTCAGTTTACATTCTCGGTTTAGAAGCTGTTGCAAATCCTGAAATGGAGGAGAGAGTAATTCTATGCAATTATATTTCCAGGGTCCTTGGTTTGATCTTAGCTGCCCTATATGACCCAGAAGGATTTCCAGAGCCAAGAAAACATACACAATGCTGCCTTATTCTGAGTCAGATCATTGCTTCATTTCTGTTAGAGGTGTTGTTGTTTTTTTGATGGGCAGTAGCCATATAAGAGTCTCAGGAAGATAATGGTCCTTCTAAGCACCAACTACATGAAACCCTTCATGGCCAGGGATTGAACATGAGATCTGGGAGGGGGAGGAGCCTCAGCCCAGTGCAGGGAGCAGAAGCTTGCCTATCTATCTCTCCTGAGCCACTGAGAGTGTCTGAGAAAGCAAGCAGCAGAACTGGAGGAAGAAGCAGGAGACAGACAGCCCCTTGTGGGCCTGATAGAAGCCCTCTGGTGGCCTGATCTGGCCCCCGGGCTGCTTTGACACCCCTGTCCTATCCTGTCAATTATATTGATTCACTCAGTGCAATTCACTGTGAGTCCAAGTGAGAAAGGCAGACTATAAATGATGTAAATACATAAAAAAATTAAAGAACAAACAAATGAGGGACTGACAACTAGATCTGGTCCTGTAAGGGATGATGAGTGCTACCTCCCCTCCCCCCCCACTCCGTAGTTGCTACCCAAGAAGCAAAAAGGTTGTGGCACCTTTAGTTACAGGCAGAAAGACTCCACTGGTGGATGTGAATGGGCCTTGGCCTATTTTTGGCAAAATTAGTTGTTGATTCAGGCTCTAGAGTTTCCAGTTGCTGTAAGCAGCTAAAATTTGGGTGTGATTACCTGTTCTCCTGTACTTTCTCCTGGGATATCCAAGCTCCGGAAATCCACACTCCTTTGCTACAGAAATCAAGGAAGGCAACAATTAGTATCCACAAACTACATTTTTGCCTATATACAAAGTGAACCCAGTACCCAGTTTCTATTTAAGACTGTATTTCCATGAAGTTACTTCACGTCCAGACACTTTAATTCCTGTTTTCATTAGGAGAGGAAGAAAACACAGAGACCTGGTACAGAAATACAAAGGTAAGTGCCATCAAGTCACAACCAACTTATGGCAACTCTACCAAGGGGCTTTCAAGGCAAATGAGAAGCAGAGCTCGTTTCCCATTGCCTTTCTCTGCAGTCTTCCTTGGTGGACTTCCATCCAAGTACTGACCATGCTTAGCTTCCAAGATCTGACTACACCATGCTGCATTCCCTCCATCCAAGAAGAATATGTAGCCCTATTTTGGAACCATTTCATCAATGTCATCAGAGCAGGGTCTATTCAACCACTTTTTCCAAGGAGCCCACCCATCTCAGTGAGGATGGTATCCTCACAAGAAGAATGAACTAAGGAAGAACTTGGTGCTGTCTCACCTACTTCACTATACTTACTTGCAAGAAAGAAGGAATATGCATATGAAAAGAGCTCTCTTGAACAATCCCTACAGCCTTTTTGTTCCCACACTGACATTAACATGCAAGCTTTGTACAGCTCTTCAATTTAGCACAGTGGCTTCCCCTTCTGGGAAACCCAGGTGTTTTAATCAGGTTAAACAACCTTCACGAAAAGAGATCTTGTTCATCAGTACTGAGGAGAGTGTGGGATGTGTCCAGGCTTGCATTCTAAGGATAATGTAGTGGCCCAGTCAGCATTGCCAGTGTATTGAGGGTGTACCCTACAGCAGTGTTCCCCTAAGTGGGTTGTAGGCTTTTGCAGTTTTATTGATTTGTGCATGCTCTTTTTTGTAAGCTGGTCACCACAACAAGTAAATTTGGACTTGTGAGTCACCATACCAAAAAGGTTGGGGACCGCTGCCCTAGAGCATCATCCTGAACCCCTTGGAGGCAGAACAGGGGAAAAAATGTGATAGACCAATAGATAGGGAGGCATATTTGCAGATGGCACCAAATTGGGAGGAGTAGCAAACACTGGAAAACGGGCAGATGCGAATAAGATGCAATTTAACAAGGATAAGTGCATCTGGGTAACAAAAATGAGAAACAAGCATACTGGATGGGGGACATACTTCGGGGTAGCGATGTTAACAAGATCTTGGGGTACGAGTGGACTGTAAGCTAAATATGAGCAAAGTCTGAGTCCAGTGGCACCTTTAAGCTTTTGTTTGCATGCACAGTCACTTTAATAATTTGAAAGGATCTCATTTCAGAGGAGGGCAGGGAGCTGTTCCTGTTGACAGAAGACTTACAATAATAGATTTAAATTACAGGGAGAAAGATAAAGGGTGGATATTAGGGGGGGAAATCACATTAAGAGTAGTTCAGCAGTTGAATCAGCTGCCCAGGGAGGTGGTGAGCTCTCCCTTGGTAGCACTCTTCAAGCAGTGTTTGGATGAACCTGAGCACAGGGTTGGACTAGATGGTCTGTATGGCCCTTTCCAATTCTATGATTCTGTGAATAAGGTTGTCCAATAAAATATTATATTTATCCACCTCCTGCTTTTCTCCCCTCCTCCATTTTATCCTCCCAACAACCACCCTGTGAAGTAGGTGGGGCTGAGAGTGTGTGACTGGCCCAAGGTGTCCCAGCAAGCTGAGTGGAGATTTGGAACAGGGTCTCCCAGATCCTAGTCCAATACTCTAACCACTATACCATGCTGGCTCGCCAAAAGACATTGCCACCTCTATTGAGAATGTCTTGAGTAAGCCTGTGCAGCTTGTGATCCACCAAACTGGACAGCAATCCATTTGTTGTGTATGGTATGCCTCCAATGTACAATTTTACTTCCTTGCCTGGGACTGCAATAACACAGGGTTTGTCGACCTCCTGGAAGTCACAATCAGTGGGCTAGGTTTGGTGGGTCAGTTGTAGAGGCCTGCTCTCAAGCCATTCTAATGTACTTGAAAAAAATTGAACCATCACAGCATGTAGCTAGATTGTATCATGACAAATGTGGGCGTATGACTCATCAGCAGGTCTCAAACTATGAGCTGTGACCCCAAACTGGATTGTGACTCTCTTGCAGGTGGGTCATGAGGCTCAAACTCCTGACCTGGAAGAAGCAGCACTTGGGTCCCCTCATTCCAGGGGCAGGAGAAGGAGAACAGAGGAAGGGGCTGCTGCATTCCCTCCTCTCCTCCCTCACCCTGTGACATCATTTGCGACAGCTGTAGGCTGTGCCCCTTGCCTCCCAGACCCATGAATCAGTGGCCGGGTTCAAGCTGAGCCCCAGCAAGCTGCACCACTGGCCCTGCAGGTGCTCAGCTAATTCCAAGCAGGTACTAGTGCAGGAGGCAGCAGTCTGACACCCACTGCCTCCTGGGCCATGCTGTCGCTGGCTGGGCCCAACCAAACCCTGGCTTGCAGTGCTTATGACAACCAGGCCCCAAAGTCTGACCATTGGGTTGGGAAACAGTCTCTAATTTTCCATGTTGCTCAACCTTAACTTCCCTCTGCCTGCCGGTGATCAAGCCTCTGGCTCACCTAAAAGCCTTTAAAATGAGTCCTGCAGGACAATTATATGTAGGAAGCATGACAATGAACCTTCAAGAAAAAAAGCCAGGTCTGTACATCGCAGATCGGGTGGTTGTGTTTGCAGAACAGAGCACCAGGGAAGAAAAGCTTTGGGCTCAGGCTTGCAAATCTGATCTGCTCTGGGGGGGAAATGCTTTCTGGGAACCTTCATGATGTCCCAACAATTAGAAAGTTATTTAGGGCAGCCTTGGGAAACATGATGTCTCCCAGCTTAAACGCCAGCTCTGTGCCGCAACAATGTATGTGCAAGAGGAAATGAGACAGAGGATGAACTGGAGGAAAATGCATCTCCATGGAATACAAAAGAACACACACACATGTATATTTTGCACCACAGTTGCTGTGCTGAGCTTTCTGTCCCTGAAAGATGCTGGAACTGAATTCAGAACTGGAGCTGTGAGGGCACTTGTTTGGACATGCTCTGCCTCCTTCTGCCAGGAATCCTTGGGCAAGCGATAGATCTCCAGCCAAGCCTCTAAGCTGCCTGTGATGAGAAATCAGAAGACATTTTACAAAAATGGGAAGAAGAAAAAAGGTCTCTTGGAGAGAAAATCTCGTTACATGGCCTAAAATGCAAGAGTCAGCTTGCTGTTACCTATATCGCATGACAGCAAAGAATCAGGTATTGCTGTATTCCTGATCATGCCTCATGGTGGCTGTTGGCCAAAAGAAAATTCCTGGGTACTTACAGGCTATCAGGAAATTTCTTTCAAAATAATAATAATAATAATTACTATAATTCGTTTCCCTCATAATGATTTGTTTCCCTCAAGTTTCTGAACATGAGAAACACAGGTTCAGAAGAAAGAGAAAGGGGCTTGCCAATGTGCAACCAGAACCTTATATATGTTCAAGATTTTTCCAAATTTGAAGTTATGTTACTCAGGCAATATCTCATACCAGCTTGACTTTTGTCACAAAGCAGTCTGAAACAGTTGCTGAACTGCAAGTTTCATGGCAAGATTGTAATTTTTCACTACCCACATTTGGATTCTTCTTTTTGCAACTCTCATGTATGATGGTGCGATCTAAACACAGAGTTTTTCCTACGCTGTCAAGTAACAGCCAACTTGAATGAATATAATTTATTGAGGTCCATGACCTCACACAGCAAATCATTTTTAACACAGCCAACTTACATTGACCCTGTAGTGTTTTCTAGGTAAGAGAGGTTCAGAGGTGGTTTGCAAACTGCCTACCTCTGCAAAGCAACTATCTACCAACCAAGTACTAGCCAGGCCTGACCCTACTTAGTATCCAAGAGCTGATGAGACTGGGGTATCCTGGGCTCTCCAGGTCAGGGCCTGACACAGGAACACCGATGTTAGCCCACTGATTTCAAATGGATTTAGAAGGTTCAACCTGACCAGTCTTGTCAGCCCAATCTTGTCAGCTCTCGAAAGCTAAGCAGAGTCAGCCCTGGTCCTTCGATGAGAGATCACCAAGGTATTCCAGGGTTGCTATGCAGAGGCAGAAAATGGCGAACTACCTGAATGTCTCTTGCTTTGAAAATCCTATGGGGTCAGCATATGTTGGCTGCGATTTGATGGTTACCCCCCCCCCCCCACCTTGGATCTTCTGGGGGATGAGGGGTTTAGTGGGAGATTGGCAGGAACTCCAGGCTTCTACCACTTCTAGGAAAAACTGCATCAAATATTCAGGGCCAGCTTCAGCATAACCTGAGGTGGAACAGCTGCCAGGGCCTGTGACTTCTGGTGGAGCCCACTACTGCTGACTCCCTACTCATGCATCTCTTTTGATACCAGCACTTACACCCTTCCACTGCCTTCTTGTGAGTGCTTTGTCATCTATGCTGCATGTGCCATCTAGTGCTGCTAGAGAAGGGCACGTGGATAGTACAAAAAGCATCAGCGTTCCTAGAGGCCATGGCAGTTGCACTCCTAGCTGCACCCAGTACTGTCAGGGAAAGGGCCTGCAGGCAGTGTGGGAAGCTATGACTGCAGGTGGTGTGAGAGCTTGTGAGTGGGCACAAGAAGTACACACAGGCAAGTGGGGGGCACATGGGTTAGTAGGCAAAGAGGGTCAACTAGCGGGCATGGGGGGGGCTCCTGAGCACTCTCTTCCTAGGGCCTCCCCAAACCTGGAACTGGCCCTACAAGCATTTCTGTGATTTGATCATAAAGGGCTCCTCCAACTCGTGTTTTATGAGCTTCACACATTCTGCTGCCATATATTCCAAGCAAAGGGGGGAAGGGATCAATCTCTTGACAGAGGCAGCTACCTCATCTGAAGCTTGAGTGACATTAGTGGAAAAGGCTGTTTATACCCATTTAAGGCCTCTGGAGAGGGAGGATGTAAGTCCAGGCTTTATATACATTAATTTAAATATTCATACCCTGAATTTCTCTCCAAAGGGGACCCAAAGGAACTTCCAGTATTGTTCTCCCCTCCTCTTTTTTATCCTCACAATAGCCCTTTGAGAGACTGGCCAAGGTAACCCAGCAAGCTTCCATGGAAGAGTGGAGATTTGGATCTGTGTCTCCCACACCCTAGTCTGACACACTAACAACTGTACAACGCTGGCTCCCTTTTGTTCAGAAGATTAGCTTGAGCTGGTAGAAAATATGTACTGTCAGCAAAACAGATGGGGTGAGGTGTCTTGTGGTAGGAAGGAAGGTTCTTAAATCAAACCTCAAGGGTTTGCCCGAATGATTTATACAGGTCTGAACAAGTCAAGCCAATCGCCCAGCAAGACCTGGCAGTTTCTTCTGCAACTTGCCTTGCAGTAGGAAACCTGCGTAATCACCCCTGTGAGAGAGCTCCAGTCGAACACATGTGTTTCGCTTGCTGATGTCTTCCTGCCAATAAATAAATATAAAATAAAAGCATGATAATATGAAAACAGGCTGAGCTTTTTTTTTTAAGCCTTCGGAGGGGATTTTTTATTGCATTTTTCTATAAACTACAACAGAAAAAAGGGAGGGGAAAACTACATCTATGGGAGAAAGAAAAGAAAACCAAACTAAAACCCCAAGTATAGGAGATCATTACAACAGCTTGTCAGTGTTAGTCTAAAATGCTATGATTACATTGAACATAGTCGATCACGCTGTATTATTTATCTTTAAAACCATTTTTAACTGTTTAAAGAAAATCCTAAGAGCATAATGAACAATAAAAAAGCTTTAAGACACCATTCAGAGTTCTTCAACCTTCGTTTTGTTTTATCTTTTCAAATCCTTAATTGATATTCTCGTTTAGGGGCTGCTGCCCCCTTTTTGCAGACAGAGTCCTCTCATTGGAAGTAACAGAATCCATTTCATCACTAGGCTTGCTGTCTTCTTCTTCCTTGCCGTCCTCACCAGACTATCCCAGTTGCAGTCTCAGGAATTCTCGCACTTTAGAAACAGAGTCAATCTTTTCTTTTTTTATCCTGCAGTTTGAAAATGACACATTCGGGGATCAACCATCTGTAAGGAATGCTGTTTGTTTGTAAAAATGAAATCAAGTCTTTATACTTCTTCCTCTTCTTTCTTATTTCAAAGGGAATATCTTTTAAAATCCTGATAATATTGCCTCCAATTTTTAAGGGCGTTCATGTAGTTGCTTTCAGGATTTGATCCCTCACATATCTCTTTGAGAATCTAACTGTTATCTCTCCAGGCAGATTATTTTTCTTGATATAAATGGAATAGGTTCTATAAACCACATCCATTTTGCTTGCAAGATATTCCATGTTTAAATCTGTAACTGGGGCTAGCGCATGACTCAACAGTTGTTTTAGATTCTCTCCTTTTTCTTCAGGGACCCCTTGGAACCGGAGGACTAGATTAGCTTTTTTCATTTGTAGCTGCAAAAGTTGATATTCATTTGAAGCTTGCTTCTTTTCCAGCATTTGGACCTTTTTTTTTTAACCTTTTGGGAGTTGGCATCCATTTCCTTCACTTTCTCAGCTGTTTGCTCTGTTTTTTCTTTGTAATCTCAGTCAGTTGGAGCTGCTGAGCTGCAAAGTTCTGGTATAATGCTGTCAGTTGTTGATTGATGTTCGTCATCTGGTCCAGTAGAGGGCGCAAAGAGTCAGCTAGCAGTTTAGAAAACTCAGTGGTATCTTCCGGCCATGGGCTCATGCTCCCCAGTGGTTTCACTTTTGCTAGTCTGTCTTCTCCATCTTTTTACCTGCCATGTTTTCAATTGTTTACTTTTTAAAGAACTTGCTAAAGTCTTTGAAATTCACCAAAATGCTTACAGGCGCTCTAGATAATCTCTTAAAACAGGTTTCAATGCTTTTATTTCTGTTCCCCTTGGCAAATCACTTTTCTCTTTGTGCGTATGGGAGGGGGCCCTCCCCCGCTCGCTCGTCTCGCCGTTCCCAGGGGTAAAAGATTTCAATGCTTTTATTTCTGCTCCCCTTTGGCAAATTGCTTTTCTCTTTATGCGTATGGGGGGGCCCTCCCCCGCTCGCTCGTCTCACCATTCCCAGGGGGGGCTTTCTTTTAAATTCCCGGCATTTCGGCTTAACTCGACTCACAGTTCATTGATGGTCTGAAGACCTCGCTCAAGGTACGTTTTTGCACTCGATCTCCAACGCTTGTCCTGGTCAGCGGCTTTGGTTCCATTGTGGACGCAGCAGGACCTTCAAGGCAGAGGAGCACCTCAATTCCCCAGCAACGCGCTGGCGAAGAGGCTACTCTTCGAAGCCCCATGGCTAGGAGCCTTTCACAAAGGCTCCTGGGGGGTGGCGACCAGTCGGCCCCCCTCCAAACTGCTGGCGCGCGGATCACTTCCCCAGGAGGTCTGGGAGAAACGTCCGCTATCGTGTCGCCATAAACCGGAAGTCCAAGAACAGGCTGAGCTTGATGAACAAGGACAGTGAGTTGGGGAATCTCATCCCGTGCCACTGCTGCCCAGCAATCCCTGTCTGAGCACACCTCATTTGAGAGGGATCTGAATGGCAAGGAAGCTCTGGTGCGGGGAGGGGAAACAGAATACCACTAGTACTGACTCTTTTAGCCAACTGGCCTTTAATTCAATGCTATCCAAAGACTCAGATCGTTCCTGTTTTCTCAATAATTTATTACTAAGATATTCCATTCCTGACAACCTCCTTAGT